TCGAGGAATCGATTCCAGAATTATGATTGGGACAGTTGCACGCAAGCGAGTTCGGAGAAGTGTCGATCCAGTGAACAGCTCTGAAGTATAACTGCTCTCAACCTGCTACAGACGTTTAGACTGTTTATTAACGTTTTTTATTATAAAACTTTTCCCCATGAGATATTCCTTTCCATATTTTTTTTTTTCTCCATATTCCATGAGATATGAACGCGTTCAAGAACAGACTAGATAAAGCTATGGAAAAATATATGTTCGGATTTGAAATGGAGTCTAATAGAAAATAGATAGAAAATAGATCTTGGAGTCTAATAGCTACTTCAAACTATCGTCAGTCATGAAAAGATCCGGTCAAATGATACGATTTTAGATCTTCTGTAAACATGGCACGAAAAGGAAAAGAATCGGGGACAGGCCACATCAGGCCTACGTTTCAGCGCCGACATCACTATGTTATGTTATGTTATGTTAAGTGCGACGTAGAGCAACCGATAATCATTGTCGGCAAGGTGAAAGCTTCTGAGTATTGATGTAAATTCTTCAGGAGGTAAAGCCTACAAATCTAACTTCCGCATTTCTAAACTGAAAACTAAAATTACAAAAATACAAAATTATAACATACTAAATTCTAATTCCCTAACACCGTCTTTCAGCTCGCTTTCTTGTTACGTCACAGAGATCGAGAAACGTAAACAATCCCATCATTCTCATGACGGATTGGTTGACTGGGTCGATCGCATTTTGGTGGATGGTCAATGATCTTGACACTGAGATCAGTAAAGTCACAGGCGAACAACAAACTACATCTTTGAAAATTAGCTTTACATAGGTCAACCTTATACTAATTCAAACATGGGCGCGAGTGTGCAACAAACATGGCGGCGTAGCAACGCGGATTACATGGACACGCGGGAACTTGGCCTGGCAGCCCGATTCCAAGTTCCTACTTCCCACATGAGAGCAGTAAGTTTCCGTAATTTCAGATTCAATTCCCAGCAGGCTACAAGAATTTTGCAATGCCAAGAATTGGCAAATAGCCCTTGCTATATATAAAAAACGCTGACACCACCGTTGCTTTTGTTGATCATGGCGACATTGCTGAAAATCGTCGTTTATCTGGAAAAATATAGCGTTGACATTATTAAGTATTGGACCATTCATAGTGCACGTTGTATTACTTCTATTCGCTTGAATGTCAATTTGGTCTCGAATTTCCGTTTCTATCGCAATCGTCATTTCTTTAGTTGACACAAACGTGTGCGGGCTCAACGGGGTAGGGAAAAGTTGACTTGCTTTTTCTCCCGTTTATTGACGTAAGCTGAAAATAAGATTTAATATTAGTTAATAGGTCGAGATAGACATACATGAAACTTAAACTAAGCAGGGGGTAGACTCACATTGTTTAGACTTTAGATATTGTTTAGTACTGAACCTGTCTCTTATACACATCTAGATGTGTATAAGAGACAGNGAAATAGTTACCCCAACCAATGAAATATTTTACTAAATTATAACACGTAAATACGCCCTATAGCCCCAAACAAGTTCACATGCGAAGTTCACCTGACGGTAGCGAACGCAAGACTCCCCAAGTTCCATGACGTGCGACATCACGACGAGAAGTTGCTCGCGTGTCTAGTAATTACGGTACAGATTTATGCATGATAAACTTTTCAATTCTTGTACTGTGTGACCCGGGTCTCCAGGATATAGAAGCGGTTCAGCAGCTAACGGCGTGTTAAATTCAGTAAGGTCCAAGGAAAGCTTGATATTTTCGTGAACGTTTACTTCTTAAAACCACCGTAAATCCTGCACGATCAGAACGTAATTAGAGATAGTGCAAATCGAAATGAAATCAAATATTAAATTTATTATTATAAAGTTCAAAGGACATGGTTTGCTGTTTTGCTCACAACAGCAATCGATTTGAATACAAGTTAAAATTTTCACCGCCACTCAAATATAAGAAATGTGAGCATTCCACAGCTTGATTCAAAAGTTCTCATCGCTTGAAAATCAAAGACACGAAGACATGTAAGACAAGTCTTGACAACATTAAAAATGTCGATTCTCTATGCTCATGTTAGCATAATAAGGTGAAATCTAATGGGCAAAAAATGGTAAACACCATGATAACTACCAGCTCAGGCTAATTCAAAACATACCGAGCTCTAAAGCAAATCATCTTCTTAAGATATTTTTAATGCTAGTAATCTCGAGTTCCATACTGGCCACAGCCACAGGTTGGCATAAAAATTGAACATGAAACTGGCCGCTGTATTACATTTGCAATGAAAATAAGCCCTGGTCGAAAACTGATTACTCACGTTGCTCTGGGGTTGCCAAAATTACGCTTACTACTGAGTCTGAATCATTCTTTTTTCTTCATTTTTTTCAATACCTGCGTCCTGCGCAAAAGATTGACATATTATAGACAAAGTAACAGGTCAGACAGTATGAAAAATCCTGATATCCTTCGATTGTACTGAATGATCTCTTAACTAAAAAATTCAGACACGCTAAACGTTCATACTGGGTCCATCCAACTGATACTTATTGAATTGTGATCTACTACCTTCTACTTGAATGGTTTATCATTCAATCAAAGAGATTCAACTTCTCTTATTTCAACAGTATGTTAAAGCTAAGTGAAATGGCAAGGTCTTTAAACGTGGCTAAATTAAATGACGAGTTAATTACACCCAAATCGGTTAAATAAGCCATCTTGAAATTATTAATAACAGCTGCACAAATATGCCTCAGGCACTCATAACTAATTGATGATCTGATCAAGCACGCCCCCAACTCAACTAAGGAAAAAAAACATGTCAGGCGAGTATGATGAACAAGACAGAATAAAACTGTTATTATTAAACTCGTAAACTGTTATTGATAAACTCATAGTACAAAACACACAAGAATTTCGCAGGCTCACACGAGCTTAGATTCACGCTTAGCAATGGCCGCCACAGTCACCCACAAGCTTTTCGATTCAACACAACACAGTTCAGCTCTGCTAATGTAATGGTATAGACTCCAGTTATAGAGAATATTTATTAATCGAAATCGTTAAAGAAAGTCATTAGAATTTTTTTAATACTCAATTATTCAGATTATTTTCATTAATAGCAAATTGTTTAATTCAGGATTATCACGCACATATTTTGTTGGTGAACTTAACGTTTTGTGGGGTTCTGCACCTGTGTGCGATAGTTCTCGCGTCGTTTATAGTTTTCCAAAAAAAAAAGAGAGACGAGCGGGAGAGGTCAGATAGCATCGAGAGAGACAGAAGAGATCATCAGACGTGAGAAATTGGAAGGGAAGTTGTGCCAATTTTTCCCATCTCGAATTGTGAAGTCCATTCGTTTATAAATACTACCCGATTGACGTACTGAATAGTTTAAACAATAATCGTCAACATCCATCTAATGCCAACTGGTTGGTGCAGTGATAATGTTGCATTGCGCATATCATCGTTCTATTATCTCTAAATTTGTTTGTTATCTGCAACCCGTCAGCAAGAGAATCCTGAAAACAGTCAGCAAAAGAATCAGTTAGGACACCATACCACCAATATTGACGGACACCATACCACCAATATTGAAGGACCCCATACCACCAATATTGAAGGACACCATACCACTAATATTGACGGACACCATACCACCAATATTGAAGGACACTGTAAAGGGTTTTCTCATGTGAAGCTGAGGTAGAATTTTAGATTCGTCCCATTCCCTAGCAAGCGTAACTAACTAGGGCGCTGCTATTAGCATAGGCCGTCATTGTACGACGAAACCTTTTACTTATAGACGAACCGAGCTTATCCCCAATAATTTGGTAAGTCAAACCACTGTATTCGCGGCTATTTTACTGACTTGCGTTTGTACAATTATTGTATATATATGCACGTTTTATATTTCGTCATAAGTTGTTTAGTTTTGGTTTTAATAAAAGTTTCGACTTCGCCAGAAACCGTTGGCAAGTAACTACACTCAACGCGTATCAAATCATTTTACCCACAAAGAAGATTCTATCTACGAAAATCTTCACAGTTTCAAATTAACGAAGCTCGAGTTTGCGATACGTCAGCTAATTCTCAGCAGAAGCAATGATCCGTTCACCCTTGCCCAAAAGCGATACTCCAGCCAATAGCAGCGCGGCGAGTCGCCTGGCCGCTGTGACTCGGAAGCAGAACAATATTGAGGAGCTGCTGCGCAACCTCAACCCAGATGTGCCTAAAATCAAAGCCCTTTATACGGAATATCTAGTGAAAGTCGAGGCATTCCTGGGAGCCTGCGAAGCCGATGTCAGTGAGGAATGGATTTCTGCTCGCAGGAGCGTTATAGATGCCTTCCGCCTCAAAGTCGAAAACTTTTTTACCACCAACAAACCTGCATCTGAACATGGCAGCCACGTCAGTCACAGCGCCAGATCGGGTTCGTCACGATCTTCGACGTCCTCCGTTAGGATAAGAATAGCTCAGCAGCGAGCCAAGGCTCTAGCAGAGCAAGCCGTCATGAAGGAAACTTTTGAAATAGAGAGCAAGAAACTTGAACTGCAACACCGGCAGCGGAAAGCGCAAGCCGAAAGAATGCGTATAGAATCTGACTTACTGGAGCAGGAGCTCAACAAGATCGATCTTGAAGATGGTTTAGCTTCCGAACACTCGAGTCGAAGCGCTCAATCGGCAATAGAAGACGCCAGACAGGTAGATCTGCATCGCAGCTTCGCTGTGGAGAGAGGAACTGGGCCTGTCAGAGAAGGAGAAAGCAGTTCACTTCTAGCCGTATTAGCAAAACAAAACGAAATATCCTCGACTCTTTCACGAAATCAAGAACAAGCTGCTCTCCCGAAGAAAACGCTTCAGGCGTTTAGCGGTGATGTCACCGAATTTAAGGTATTTTCTCAGAGCTTCGATAGAGTCATAGCATCCAGATGTTCGAACGACGCCGACAAATTGGCATACTTGGAACAATTCACTACTGGTAATCCTCATAAACTTGTGAAGAGCTGCGTGAACAGCGACGCTGGCACAGCATACCGGAACGCTAGGGATTTGTTATCGTCCGAGTACGGCGATGAATTTAGGGTCACCAACGCTTACCTTGAAGCATTGGCCAGCTGGCCGGCCGTCAAGGCAGAGGACGCGGAATCTCTTAGCGACCTTTACGTGTATCTGCTCAAATGCCAAAACTATCTGGAAGACCTTACTTATAGCAATCCACTTCAGAACCCAAAGGAGATAATGGCGATTGTGATGAAACTTCCATACCGACTACGGGAGCGTTGGCGCAGACAGACCCTTCACCTTCACCAGCAGAAAAAACGCGTAGAGTTTCAGCACCTCGTCGCCTTTGTTAGAGAGGAACTGGCATTAATTAAACAACCCCTTTTTGGCACCATAGCGGACTCTGTGAACGATAAGAAGCTTTCCACGTCTAAGAGCAAGAGAGTCTTGGCCTCTTCGACTGCGGCAGTAAAGTCCACGTACTGTGAGGAGCAGTGTCCATGCTGCAAAAAGAAGAATCACCCAATAACTTCGTGCCTATTTTTCAAGGAAAAAACCTTTGAAGAGAAAGGCGATTTTATTCGAAAGCTCGGCCTTTGCTTCGGATGTCTGGGGAGCGGCCATCGTTCGAGGGAGTGTAGTCAAAAACTGATTTGTTCTATATGCCAAGAAAGACACCCGACAGTTATGCATCTAAACAAAGGAGCGCACTCAAATGGAAAAAGCGAGTGCTCGCAGCTGGATGATCCATCAAATAAAACGGCAAGCGCTCAACCACCAATTACCCATGTTACAACGAACGTAGTCAGTGGGCCCGGTGAGAGGCGCGCTGTCATGTGCCCAGTAGTGCCCGCGAAGGTTAGAGTGGGAGGCACCGACAAATGGATCGTAACAAACGTTGCTTTGGATTCCCATTCAACGGACTGTTGGATGTCTGGGAAGCTGCAAAGCAAACTCGACTGCAGACTGGATGATGCCCAAGTAGACTTGTCGACCATGGGAAGCTTGAGAGCTCGCACAAGGACCAGGATTGCTCGGGATCTTATAATAAGTGATCTGCATGAGAACAAAGTCGCCAAAGCTCCGCTGATTTTCGTCAAGGATGAAAAGGACTGGCCATTCACATGCAGCGATGTTCCCACGATCGACGATGTGGCACCCTATGACCATCTCACCTGCGTGCCTTTCGATTTCGTAGATACGGAGATAGGTCTTCTAATAGGAATGAACTTCCCCGGGCTAATGAAGCCGACTTCAGTTGTCAGTGGCGGGTGGGGCGAACCGTTCGCTACCCAACACTGGCTTGGCTGGGCGCTAAACGGTCCAGTTTCGAGTGGCGGGGTTTCATCGTGCATGCGGCTAAAGACAGATTCACTAGAGTCGGAATTGGACAAATTTTTCGAGCGGGATTATGTGGAACCCGAAGATGAACAGTTAATTTCTGTGGAGGACCTTGTTTGGACCAAAAAGGTCGAAGCTAATACAAAGGTGCTCAAGAATCATCATTTCGAAATCAGTCTTCCCTTTTTTGACGAAAAACCTAAATTTCCGAACAACAAGCAACAAATCCTACTTAGGTTCCAATCTCTTTTGAGGAGATTTCAACGTGACGAAGGTTACTTCAAGGAGTACGCCGCCTTCATCAGAGACATGATGCTCCGCGGGTACTGTGAAGTAATACCAGCCAACGAAACGGAGACAAATGCACAAGTATGAAATCTTCCCCATCATGGTGTGTTTCACAAACAGAAGAAAAAAATGAGAGTAGTCTTCGACTGCTCCCATGAGTTTAACGGGACGTCGCTCAACCAAAAACTGATGCAGGGCCCTGACTTCACGAACAACATCGTTGGGGTCCTCCTGCGTTTCCGTCAGGAAAAAATCTGCATTACAGGAGACGTGGAGAAAATGTACTACCAAGTAAGAATCCCTGCCGAACAATCAGACTTCATGAGATTTTTCTGGACGAACGAAAAATTCGAAGTCATTCAGTGTCGTCTGAAAGTTCACGTCTTCGGAGCAAAGAGCTCTCCCAGCGTTGCAAACTATGCGTTGAGGAAAACCGCGGAGCTGACAGATGATACAGATATTAAAACCTGCATTAATCGCAACTTTTATGTGGATGATCTCTTGATTTCTTCTCCAAGCGAAGACGTGTCACTCCGGCGACTTCAAGAAATTAAAACCACTCTGGCCCAGAGAGGCTTTCGACTGACAGGATTCAGCAGCAACTCGAAAGGGATTCTGGAAAAAATTGATGCTGAAGATCTTTCTAGCAAACTGAAGAGTATCGATTTTTACGACGAAAATTTACCGTTGGAACGAGCGCTCGGCATAATATGGAAAACCAACGAAGATTTTTTTGGATACAAATTCCAGCCAGACGCTTCGACGCTAACCCGAAGGGACATCTTGAGATTCGTTGCATCGATCTACGATCCCCTGGGTCTGATTTCCCCAGCGGTAATCCTGGGAAGGAAAATCTTTCAAGAAACCTGCCGCTTACGTCTGGGTTGGGACGAAGAGCTCCCACTAGAACTGAAAGCCACTTGGAAGAAATGGATGAAATCGCTCGAAACACTGTCCACATACGAAATTCCTAGATGTCTGAAGCCGAAGCACACCAACGAAGAAGTTGTTTCTACGCAGCTGCACATCTTTTGTGATGGAAGCGAGACCGCTTATGGAGCAATGGCGTACGTAAGACATGTGTACAGGAGCCGCGCATCCGTAAGTACTCCAGTGTTTACAAAAACAAGGCTGACTCCTTTGAACAATTCGACCCTGAGGACAATTCCCAGAATAGAACTGTGTGCTGCTAAATTAGCTATTGATGTTTCAAAAATTCTCGTTCGTGAATTGGACTATAATTTCGAAAGTAAGTACTTTTGGACTGACTCATCGACCGTATTGAGTTACATAAAAAACGAGACGAGAAGATTTCAAAGGTTTGTGAGCAATAAAGTTTCTTACGTGCGCAGTCTGTCCTCGCCTGCAGAATGGTTTCACGTACCTTCATCCGAAAATCCTGCAGACCTGGTGAGTCGCGGTGCTACCATCGGACAAATTCGCTCGTCAGAGTTGTGGAACGGCGGCCCTGCCTTTCTGCACGGTCGCGAAATTTCGTTCCCTGAGCAGTTCGTAGCTCCTATCCACTCGACCGATTCGGAACTTAGAAACGAAACGAAGACTTTGGTGATGAAATCGTCCAACGATCCTCTGGGGCTACTTCTGGATTCCACATCGTCCTGGTACAAGCTGAAGTTGCGGGTGGCCTGGCTCCGAAAATTCCTTCACTTCATCATGGGTAAAAATCCAGGAAACAAGATTAGCACCAATGACGTCAAAGACGCTGAAATTGCAATACTGCTTTATGTCCAGCGTACTTGTATTCCAGAATATAAGATTTGCGCCAGTGGAGAATTAGATAGAAAGAATCCCTTGAACAAGCTCGACTTGTTTTTTGACGACGACGGCTTGCTGCGTGTTGGTGGACGACTCAAGAACAGTGATAACCATTTTGAGATGAACCATCCGATTCTGCTCCCGAAGTCCTCGAACGTCACAAACATCTTGATAAGAGAGGCGCACCGACTGGTTGGGCATCTAGGGAGAAATTCAGTCTCTGCAAACCTGAGAAGGAAATACTGGATCATCGGTGGGAATGTAGCAGTGAAAAGGGTGTTACGCGAATGCATAATTTGCAAAAAATTCAGGGTCCTCACAGCGCGCAGAAGATGGCAGATTTGCCTGCAACTAGATTGGCGGCTGACGTCCCTGCGTTCACTCATGTTGGTACAGATTTTTTTGGGCCTTTCATTGTAAAAATAGGCCGAACAACTCACAAGAGGTACGGAGTCATTTTCACCTGCATGTCAAGCAGGGCCATTCATCTGGAGGTTTCGCATTCATTGGAAGCGAATTCGTTCCTCAACGCTTTAAGACGCTTCATCTGCAGAAGAGGCAACGTCTCGTCGATTACAAGCGACAATGGCACAAATTTTGTTGGCGGCAACAATGAATTGCGTAGGTCTATACAAACTTGGAATCAAAATGTGATCGAGAATTGGTTGAAGCAACGCGACATCACTTGGAAGTTCAACTCCCCCCATTCCAGTCATCACGGAGGAGTGTGGGAGCGCTTAATTAGAAGCGTGCGTAAGGTTTTGACGTCATTGATGTCAGAGCAACCAATAAAGCTCAACGATGAAGGCTTATCAACTCTAATGTGCGAAGTAGAATTCATTCTCAATAGTCGGCCGCTAACCCAGCAATCAGACGACCCAAATGATCTCGAAGCTATCACCCCAAACCATTTGATTCTGCTTAACCCCGGTAGAAATCTGCCACCCGGCATCTTCAAACCTTCGGACAACTACGCCACAAGACGATGGCGGCAGATACAGTACCTCGCTGATCTCTTTTGGACTCGGTGGAAGACGGAATACCTGCCCTCCCTGCAGCAGCGACAGAAGTGGGTGACGAATCAGCGCCCTCATCAGCCGGGCGATCTGGTGCTTGTCGTCGACGTCAACCTTCCACGCAACCAGTGGCCGCTTGGTCGCGTCACCGAAGCAATAAGAAGTGAAGACGGAAGAGTTCGGCGTGCGAAAATTCGCATTAGTAAAATCGTAGGCTCGGGTTTTAACTTTGGATCCACTATCATTGAACGCCCGGTCACAAAATTGATTTTACTGATTCCTTTTGATGAACAATAAAAAATTTGACTGCATTTTAAAATTCGTGCAAATTTGGGCCCGGTGTGAAGGGTTTTCTCATGTACGCTTATTGTAAAATTTTAGATTCGTCCTATTCTCGAGCACGCCAGTTTACTAGGGCGTTGCGATTGGCGTAGGCAATCATTAGACGATGAAAG